CTTGGTTTCAAGAACTGTTGTCCGGTCTGCTGACCTTTTGTCTTCCAAAGGCCGGATCCGAGTCCGGCTCTGAAGACGTCGATCCGAAGTGTCTCCTGATGGCGATCCAGCCGGCTTGGGCTGGTCTGCTCGGTCAGTTGACGGGACCGTTGTCCCGCGACGCCGAGTCCGAGTGCAGTCGGCATGGCGTCGAGTTGGCCTTCACTCGTCTCTGGCGTCTGCTCGTCTTCGAGGCGGGTCGGGCCGATCAGCTGGAGGCGCTGGCGGCTGTCGGACTCTGCCTCGACACGGCTTGGGTCACGCATTCGGGTCAGCCGCCGCGGTTGCACCTCTGCGTCGGCCAGAACCTGGTCGGCCGGAGTCTGGTCGACGAGTGGCTGCCGCAGCCCGAGATGGGGATGGGGATCGGGATCGGGATCAGAAACGCGACTCCGACCATTGGCCAGCTCTGCGCTCAGGTCGACCGACTCCTCGGCCAACTACCGCGTCGGCCAGATCTCGTCACTCTCGTCCGGTCCGTTCGTGACGGATACACTCCGCACGACCGCCAGCCGGACATTGAGGCCGCCATTTTGGACGTGCTCGAGCGCAGGCTCGGGCTGGGGCCGACCGACACTGTCTACTCGAAACATCTGCTCGGCGGTGTCCGTGGCTGGGCGCGCCGGCCCGGTCGAGCCCTGCGACCGAGTCCGGTCTTTTGAGATCGCTCTTCCGCCTACAAACTACTGTACATACTCACCATCCGCGGCGCGACACCCGCCTCGGTCCAAACCTCTTTAGACTAGACAGTTTTGGTCGTCTGCTTGATCCATCGTTGAAAGAAGAGTCGTGTGCGGTGCGTCGAGGATGTCTTCCCGGTCAACCAACAGTCTCCATTCTCGGGCCGGTACCGCCGCCTCTTTTACACTCCGCTGCGGCCCACCTTTTCCGAATTCATGATGTAAACATATGAGCATTTTGAAAGTACGCCATACCATCAGTAGCACCGATTTGTATGATTTGATAAAAAGCCTTATCTCACTTTTGCTGCATTATTTTGGTGTGTGTGAAGGAAAAAGTGTGACAAAGGAGATAGTCGTCATCAAACTTGGATGGCCGAGAATAGACGTTACTGCTGGTTTCGAGCATAGGCGAACACATACATACACATACACATACAGAGACAAACAGCTTCACATACTTTGAGGTTGACATATGACTAGAATTTACCAAATCACTTTATATCTCATTAAGGAGGTCAGATATGGAGTATATATACCGCTTTTTGGGGAAGAGCCGGTGAGCTTTCTTGACTCGTTAGCTTGCAGTTGGTTGTAAAGATGATACCTTGCTCTGGTGAGGTTCGTCATATGACGGACGACAGCTTAGCACGTTTTCACGTTTTACCTGGTAAACAGCCAATCTACAGCTTGCCAAGAGGAATCCAGCGTCATCTTCTGGTGGAATCAGCCTTTCACTTGAAATGGAAGTAAGCTGAACATTTATTTTGATATGTTTTCCTCTGATTACTTATATTCGAATTAAGTGGAATTCAAAGACTAACAGTAGATCGTATTTTTCGTTTATGAATAGGACTTCGCGACTACCAGTATGTCAGTTATATAAGATGTATTCTTCCTATTTCATTTAGCCTGCTGGAGGACTGATGATTGAATTTTCCCTCAATCATATGAAAAGAACTGACGTTTTCATTGAATTTCACATATCCTCGCTTTCACAAAAGTTGTTCTCATCTAGATTGGATTGCAGTCTCGACCTCGCCTAAGTTTTGTCAACATTCCCAGTGGGAGTTGCACCATGACAGTGCAGTGTGTAATCTCAACTCGTTGACCACTACACCACATTTCTACGACGCCATTGGGTCACAGGGCATATGTGAATTTCAAGGAAGGCCAGACCTTTCATCATATCACATTCTTTGGTGAGATTGTCGATGAATCAACATTATATTTGCTATGACAATCGACTACATTACTTATTTGTCGTATAAGAGTAGGGTTTCGAGACTACCAGTAAATCAGTGTACTTATGCTCTGATGTGTGGTCGGATTTTGAAAGAGTTCAGCCAGGACAAGAAATGGCGTAGGTCTGTTCAACAATCCTGCTTTGGATTCTTAAAAAAACTTTTTAGACGTTATTTATTGATGGTATTATTTAAGTAATATAAAATGTATTCACCCTATTTCGTGTAAAGTGATGAAGGACTGGTAGTAGAATTTTCCCACAATGATATGAGTTGAGCCGACGTTTCCATTGCATTTCACATAGCCTTGCTTTCCCAAAAGTTATTCTCCTCCTGGGTGGACTGCAGTCTCGACCTCGCATTGGTCCTACCAACACCCTCAGCGGGATTTGAACCGCGACAGTGCAGGACGGTAGCTCGACATACCGAGTACCCTTTAGTCACAGGGCATAAGTGAATTTCAAGGAAGGCCAGACATCCTGCCATATCATATTCTTTGGTGGGAGTGCCGAAGAAGCGAACGTATGTTTGCTATAGCAATCAACAACGTTACTTATGTTCGTAAGTTGGTAGGGTTTCGAGACCACCAGTAAATCAGTGTAATGAGATGTATTCACCCTACTCTT